TATTTTACAAAAATAAAACAAAAGGCTGTCAAGGCAGCAAAAAACTAGATAACAAGAACAACTAAGGAGAAACATAACAGTTGAGTGAAACCAAACAATGAGTCAGTGAGGGTGTGGAGTGAAAGACAACTATACTGTATAAAAAACAGAGGTGAAGAAATTTATAGTTATTAGAGTTTAGTACTGATGTTAAAAGCACAACACTAAATTTTTAGGTTTTCCTTTTTATAATGTTTAATCTATTATGTGTTGATTGATATAGATTAGATACATGACCGAAATATCTATAGCAACACATATTTATCCATTATGAGAACAGTAGGTGAGAATTTTGTATGAATGCCCGTGATTCAGCCGTAGGTCAGTAGGGGGCGAACACGGGCATTGAAGACTCTGTATAAATGGATCAACTTCCTGTTTTGCCGGCAGTGCGTGGTTTCCTGTCAGCGGTGACAATAAACCCTCACTCCAGAATTCTGGTTTTGTATGGTTTTATTCCAACAATCATATTATTTAACATTGGTGGTTTTCTATTTACTTCAGTCTTTGAACACAAATATTTCTTACAGTTTTGGTGACCCCGACGTAGGCATGGGCTGAATACCGATTTCACGGTATACCACGGTATAAAAAATTCACGGTGTCAAAACCACTAAAATTTTCCGTCATACCGTGCCTACGGTTTAAAAGTTTTTTTTTGTTTGTTTGTTTTGGTTTGGTTTTTTATGTCTCGTCAGAGAGAAAGAGGTGAAATCCTTCCGCTCGTGTTCGGACTTTGACCCCGCCCCCCGTGCACCCCGTAGCTCTTCAAGTAGCACTCAGCTGCGGCCAATTTTACAGATTGCAAGATGGCGGAAGGAGGCGAGGATCTCCCAGAACTTTTCCCCCCGTCTAAACGAATTAAATTGGCTATATGGGGATACTTTGGCTACCGTAAAAAAAACAGACGGCAACGGTTTGGAGGAAGAAGGTAATCCTACATGCAAAACATGCTTGCGGAGAGTGGCAGCCAAAGGAGGCAACATGTCGAACATGATAGCGCACCTACGAGAGCACCACCCGTCACTGTTTGCTACATACAAGGTAAAGTTATGCTATTGCTATCTTGAAATGAACGAACTACTTTTAGCATCAGACAGTGGTGAAACAGGCTATCACTGCGTTACTGTGGCTTATTGTGTCAGTCACAACTTGTTTGAAAGAGTGTTGTGGAGTTGATTAATTGTGTATTTAGTTAGCTTTAAGTGAAAGGCAAAAGAACCAAGTCCCTTCATAGCTTAGTCAAGCAGCTCTTTAACTGAACGCGCATTTCTTATAAACATCAAAGGGAAATGAGTTTTCTGCATTACGGTTGGTCAAAAATACGACGGAGTATTATGTCCAAAGTCCAGACATTTTTTTTCTAAATTACTAGAGTTGAAGTAAAAAATTACAGGAAATTTGACTAAAGTTTTTATATTATGTGAACTCCTACAAAAAAAAAAACAGTCTTACCACTGCCTTAATATGAGGAATCTTTTACAAAACAAGAAATATTTCTATTTTAACATGTCAGCTGCTGTTTAGCTGAGCTGGTCACATCAGATATTGATAACTCTTAAGCTTTTTTTCTTATTGAAACAACCTTTTTTCTCCTAATTTGACAACTTTCTTCTGTTAATTATATTATGAAAATATTCTTTTAATATAACTTTATTCTGGTATTATTACAACTTTAGTCTTGTAATTTTCATATAATAAACAACTTAGTTTGGCCCTTCTCTGTCTGTCATACTAAAAACAGCTTCTAAAGAAATTTAAAGTTGATTACTGTAGAAAATATAGTGATAGATTAATTTGRAATTCCAGTTAAATTCACATCTATTTTAACTGCTTTCTTTTTTAGAATAACGGTGGCTCTGGCAGCAACAAGTCATATACAGCAAAAGGTGAAGATCAGCCCACAATTCAGCAAGCATTTAATAAGCAAGTCACCTATGCACCCACATCAAAGCATGCTAAAGACCTTAACAGTGCAGTGGCATACTTCATTGCCAAAGACATGATGCAATTTCAAGCTGTTGAGAAACCTGGGTTCCTGAAGCTGATGAAGATGGCAGTTCCACTTTTCAAAATGCCATCAAGAAAATTTTTCTCAACTAATGAAATCCCCAAGATGTACTCAGAGGTCAAGGCTCATGTGCAAAAACAAGTGGCAAAACGGGTGTGGTTTTCTGCAACAACTGATCTGTGGACTAGCAGTGGTGGTAGTGGAGAACCTTRCATCAGCTTCACAGTGCATTTCCTCTCCCCAGAGTGGGAACTCAAGTCCTTCTGTCTAGAAACTGTTTTTCCCAGAGGACCACACAGCTGAACACATCTTGGAGTTTTTTGAAAACATGTTTCAGGAGTGGAACATGACAAGTGGCAGTTTGTCTTCCACCACAACAGACAATGCAACAAATATGAAAAAAAAAACATTTCAAGACCAACCTTATGTTTGGCTTGGATGTTTTGGCCATAATCTTAACCTAGCTATAGCTAAAGCACTCAAAATTCAAAAAGTTGACACCGCTGTACGAGCATGCAGGCATCTTGTACAAGGTTTCTCTCGCAGCTGGAAAAGAAAAAGAGAACTGAAGAAACAGCAAGCAATCCTGGAAATACCTTAAAAATCACTAATACATGATGTAGTGACAAGATGGGGGTCCACTTTCAAAATGATTGAGAGATTTCTGGAGCAGCAACAAGCATGCTGTGCAGTTCTTGCAGGAGACAGGAGCTTACGGCATCTAATGCCAAAAGACAATGATGTGCAAAYGCTGGAGAGGGTCTGCCAGCTGCTGGGGCCTCTCAATGACTTTACAGATTTACTTGGCTCTGAAAAAAACACTCTCTCATCTTTGAAGCCTGTTATGGAACACAGCAGTAACCTACTGGAGGAGAAGAATGAATATGATGCCTTAACAAAAGAAATGAAAAAGCTAATGATGGACGATCTGCAACACCGTTACTCCTGTGAGAAAGTCAAGAAAGTGATTGACCTGGCTTGCTTCACTGATCCTCATTTCAAGGACAACTTTAGTCAAAACAAGGATGTTGTTGTCATGTTTGCTGAAGAAGAAGCTGTGAACCTGGCAGACAGAATCTCACTGCCACCTCAAGAATCACCTGCAGCCACTGCTGACCAAGAACAGGAAACCAGCACGTCCACCACCACTGCCTCCTTTGCTGGTACAAAAAAGAAAGACAAATCACTGCCTTGTTTGCTGAAAGAAATAACATCAGCAAAACAGCAGAGAGTTCAAGCTGTAGATGGCTTACCAAAAGAGAGAGTGAAAATTGAGATAAAGCAATATTTGTCTTACGCCCCAATCTCCTCTGAAGCTGACCCACTGGTATGGTGGATGACACACACGGAGGAGTTACCTCTTCTCACAGCATTGCAAAAAAATATCTCTGCATCCCAGCGACCTCTCAGAGAGGGTTTTCAGTTCTAGTGGACACATCCTCTCACCTCACCGCTCCAAGCTAAATACAGGAAAAGTGAACATGCTGACATTCCTGCATCATAACTTGCACTAAGAGTAATTTATGCAGTAAACCTCCAAAGGTGTTGAGAACTTGATTGAATTTTAAGTTCATGTCAGTTTTTTTAAGTTTGTTAGAATAAGGACTGCATTTACTGTTCACAAAGACTGCATCTTAACTTGCACTAAGAGAAATGTATAGTTAATCTCCAAAAGTGTTGAGATTGAATTTTAAGTTCCTGTCTGTTTATTTTCTTTAAGTTTAATTTAAGGATTGCATCAAGGACTGCATTTATTTTTATTTAAAAG